GAGCGGAAAAGCGCCTTCTCGCAGCCCGCCCGCTCCTTCCCGCACGTCCCGCCGCTGGTGCTGGGCCCGAAGCTGGGCGGGCTGGGCGAGCCCTGCCCCGACGGCGCCGCCGCCCCCGCCCGCCTGTACACCGCCGAGGCGCTGGCCGCCAAGCTGCCGGGCGGCGGGGAGACGGCGGGCGGCGGCGGGGGCGGCGCCGGGGGGCTGCCCAAGCAGAGCCCCTTCCTCTACACCACGGCCTTCTGGCCCAAGAGCTCGGCGGCGGCGGCGGTGGCGGCGGCGGCGGCGGGGCCGCTGCAGCTGCAGCTGCCGTCGGCGCTGACGCTGCTGCCGCCGTCGTTCACCTCGCTGTGCCTGCCGGCCCAGAACTGGTGCGCCAAGTGTAACGCGTCCTTCCGCATGACCTCGGACCTGGTCTACCACATGCGCTCACACCACAAGAAGGAATACGCGCTGGAGCCCCTCGTCAAGCGCCGCCGCGAGGAGAAGCTCAAGTGCCCCATCTGCAATGAGTCCTTCCGCGAGCGCCACCACCTCTCCCGCCACATGACCTCCCACAACTAGCGGGGATCCCCCCGGCTCTGGGGACTCGCCCGGGACCCCCGCCCGGTGACCCCCGCGCTGCCCGCCGCTCCCGCCCTTCCCCTTCGATGCACGCGTTTCCACTGTCTGGGGAGGGGCGGGGAGGGCAGAGGCAGAGGAGGAGGAAAAAAAGAAGAAACAGAAGAAGAAGAAGAAAAAAGAAGGTAAAAAAAAAAAGAAAAAAGAGAAACACCGTGAAAAAGAGAAAAAAAATCAAATGACTTAAAAAATACATTTTTTAAAATGTCATATATTGCAACATATTGATGCATTTGTCATACGTTTCTACTTAAATTATTAAGCACTTATGGTTTAGATGTAATAATAATTCTATGTCAGGGTAAATTTTTATTTTGGATATGAAGCTAAGGGCGGGGGGGGCGCGGCGGGGCCGGCGGGTGGCGGGCCGGGGTCCTGCATGCACCGGGCGCTCCCCCTGCCCGGCCCCGCCGCCCGCGCCCCTTCCCCCCGAGTGTCACTGGTGCCCGTGGAATGGAGTCTCGGTAGTTCCGTGTTATCTTCCCTTTCCCGTTTGGGTTTGTTTTTTTTTTTCCTCGACCTTCTGGAAAAGATTTATTAAACTTTATAGTTTATCCGGGTATGTTGGATGCTTTGACAATAAATGACTTTATTTTCTTCAAAGCCCCTGGACGTTAATTGGTTCCGGGGGGAGGGAAAGGGCAGTGGGGAGGGGTACGGCCCTGCGGCTGCGGGGTGGGAACTTGGCCCCCGACCGGGGTGCGCTGTGGGGAAGGGCAGAGACCCCAGACCGCGCTGCCTCTCCTCTCTGCTCTTCTTCCCCACTCGCCTGCCTTGCTTCGGCCCCTCTGACATCCATCCATCCTTCCTCTGTGCATCTTTGGTTTTGCCTGGCATTGTATCCACCCTTTATTTCTCTCTTTCACCCTGTCCTTCCCTTCCTTTCCTCTTCCCTTCGTGGTTTCGGTTTTCTATAATGTCTTTCTTTTTGCCTGTCTTTTTCTTTCTGATTTTCTCCCTTTTTCTTTCAGACTTTCTGTGTTTTCTGTCCCATTCTCTCTTCCTCTCTTTCCCGTTTTCCTTTTTCTCCTTTTCCTTTTCCTTCCCAGCCCTTTTCAGCCCCCCGCTTTGCTCCACGCCACCCACTTCACCCCTGCCAGGAGCCTTTATTGCTCCCCAACCTTGCCAGGGCTATAGGTGGCCCCCGGCTTGCAGGGTGAGCAGAGCCCCGGGGGTTGGGGTGACAGGGCCCAGAGGAACCCCCAGCCTGGGGCAGGGAGTGCTTCAAGGGGCCAAGGGTGGGTGCCCTCTGCCCTGGTGCATTATTGGGGTGATGGCATCACAGCCAGGGACACACGGGAGGGCTCAGGAAAGGGGAACCTCTCTGGGCACAGCAGGACAGTCTGGTCTTATGGGCACCACCTGCAGTGGGTGCATCTGGTGTCAGCCCTGAACGTTTTGGGGTGCACAGGAGGGCCCTGAGGGACGCAGCAGCCCGGGGAAACCCACACAAGCTGGCATCACCCTGGAGAGAGCCAGGGCTCACTGTGATGAGGCTGCACATGGCTCTGTGGGTCACTGGCAGGGAAAATATCCCAAATCCAGAGCTGTGCAAGGCTGGAGCCCCTGGCAGAGCATGGGAGGTGCCCACTGTCTTGCAAGTGGGTCGAGAGTACCACCAGCACCCGCTGCTGTGGAGTTTGGGGTTTGCGTGGAGTACCTGGACCTGCTGCAAAGCCTTTACAGCTCCCAGGAAAGTGCCTGGAGCCTCAGGTAGGACGTGCTTACAGCTCTGCATGCTTGGAGAGTGTCTTTCGTGAGGAGCACTGACAGCCAGCACTGGCTATCCTCACAGATGTGGGACGTGGCACGTCTGAGGAGCTTTAGGGGGATCCCTGCCACGGACAGTCCACCTTCCCGCTGATGCCATTCACTCCTTCAGGGCACTGACCCCGCCACCGTCCCAATAACCCCCAAACCACACCAGGTGCCGAAGCGACCCCCCGGCTGTCATTCCCTGCGTCAGGAATACGCATGGCTCCACCTGCTGCCGTTAATTGCGGGGGCGACACGCTAATTACTCCCGGGAGCTTTCCTTAAAAGCGGTGCCGCCGCTGCGGCTCCTCTTTCTAGGGAAAGCTTTTGGGGATTTCCCGGGATGCTGGGCCGTGGTCCCGGGGGATGCGGGGACGCTGCGGGGATGCCGCGGGGATGCCGGGGGCGGCAGAGGCGGGCAGGCACCGCCATCTAGTGGGGCCGCCGCGGGGCCAGCGGGGACGCTCGGGATGTGCGGGGCCCCGACGGGCTCCCTTCCCGAGGATGATGCTCCGGGCTCCTCTCCCGCGGCAGCTCCGCCTCTCCATTAGCTCCGGGACGCCTTTGGGGCTGGATCCTTCCTGCGCCCGGGTAGGTTCATAGGGGCGGTGTAAATTATGCTCTCCCCGGCTCCCTGCGCTCGTCCTGGGTCCCGGCGCTGCTGGAGAGCTGGCGCTTTCCCTCCATGAGGGAGTATTCGGGAGCCTGGCACACACCTGCAGGTCTCAGCACCTCAGCACATACAGCATCTCTTCCATCTAATCCAAAGACTTTACGGCCCAGTGATCTGGGGACCTGTCCTGCAGTATCCTGCAGTACCCTGCTTTATCCCTGTTCCTCGTGACTCTCTCTGCAGGCACGGTGCTAAGCCCCAGGATTTTCCCCATGGGGTCTGTCTATGCTAAGGGGTGCCTGCCTGTCAGCTCCCTAAGAAACGCTGTTAGACAGGACACGTGTGGTGCAGCAGGTGTCTGCACTGTTACGGACACACAAAGCTCACACTGTTCCTCTCCTTAAGTACAAAAAATCTACAGGACTAATGGGCAAGAAATTTGATCAAAACGTTAGACTTTGTTTTGGTGAAATGTGATATCAGACTCCGAAGCGATGCACAAGCAGGATGTGGCATAAGGGCGGGCAGCACCTGTGGTCCTGTGCAGTTGGGTGTTGCATGAAGGGGGGGGTTACAAGAGTTCCCCTTGGGCCATTCAGGCTCAGGGCTTGGTCACAGCAAGATCGTCATTCCCCAGAGCTATGCTGTCTCTCCTTAGGTCAGCGTGAGTGCCATTGCCACACACTGCTCCTTTGTCCATCGACAGTGCTGCTGCATGGGAAACAGGGAAGGGAATCTCCCTTGTTTTTTTAACTGACTTTCTCTGCCAGTGGTCGATGCTGTGTCGTGTCACTGCTCAGCGCAGAGGCTGGCTGGGCTGTGGCATCAGCCCCTTGTGCAGGATCCTCTCCCAGCATCACAGCCCAGAAAATGCAGTGCTAAGGCATGGCTGAGGCATTTCCCTGGGATAGACCTGCCCCTGCGAGCCTGTGCCGGAGCCCACGGCTGCGTCTGCCTCCAAAACCCACCCACAGGGGGCATCCTCAGTGTGCTGTGGTGGAGCCTTGGTAGTGAGGAAGGGCAGCCTTCAGCTTTGAGGAGCCTCTTCCCTGCATCTTGCAGTGCTCAAGGTAAGACTGCTCCATCTGCAGCCAAGCCACAATAATAAATAACAAATAATAATAACAGATAATAATAACAATAATAATATCTATATAAATGTGTATATAATAGATATAATGTCTAATGTATTCATAATGTATGTGTTATTGTTATAGAATAATATACCCATAAATGTGTATATAATGTTGTTATTATTATTATTATTATTCCTCCAATAAATGTTGCTGTTGTTCCAAGAAGGCTGAGCTCCTCTTTGCAAGGTATGTATCTCTAGTTAATCTCTAATCTGTTAAAACTGGAAAATCTGCCATCAAGATTTAATTTCAACACCCAGCATCTGAAAATGAGTTATTCAGCTGTGGATGTCTAAGGCAAGGCCAAAATAGTTCCCTTGTTTTGAAAATAATATGAGTGGTACAATATTTCTTCTCTGCTTTCCCTGCTGCTAAGGTCTCATTTGGAGGGGGGGAGAAGGGAGTGGAAAGACCTTAACTGGCACAGAAGGTAGTGGTGGTGGGTTTTAAACAAATACACACAAAAACCAAAATGCATAGGGGAAGTTTCTGTGAGATACAGTGTTGTCCTGCAGAATGCAGGGTAATGCCCAGCTTGCACTGGGTTTTTTTTAAGAAAGACATTGGTTTTCACTTGTTTGAATTTCTTTTATTTCCTTATCCAGGCTCGTGAGGTGGCTTCCAAGTGATCTCTCTGGCATTCATGCCCACGGAGCCTGTTACTGGGGTTGCCCCTGGGCTCCCCACGGCACCTGGGTAATCATCTTAATTAAATTAACCTGGTTTAACGCATGGCCTCCTGGTAATACATGCCTCTTTGGCTTTGTGTGGAGCTGCTCGAGCAGCCCCAGGCCTTGCTGTCCCCCCAGAGTAAGGACGCCTCCGGAGGGACTTGCAGGGTGACCTGGGCTCCAGCCACCACCATCCTACTGAGGTGAGTATCCTTCAGGCCACATATCCTCATTGCAAAGGCCATTTTCCAAGCTCCCAGGGGTGGTGTCAAGGGTGTTTCCTTGGGGAACAGCCAACTCCGAGGCAGCCTGAGCCTGCATGAGTGCAAGGACGCAGCGTCGATCTGCAGCGCGCCGGGAAGGTGAATCCAGCATGATATCGCTCTGGTAATGCTGTGGAGTAAACCTTTCTGGGAGGGGAAAAAACTCCAGCGATGCCGAAAGGCTGGTGTGTCTCTCCATGCAGTTGCTGGCTGGGGCTGGGGCTGCTGGGGGCTGGGGGCAGACAGAGCTGGCCCCTCAGGCACCCCAGGGCTAGGGCTCCGCTGGCTGTTTTCATATCTGCTCGTACTTTACCTTGCACATTTTCAAGTGGCAATTGAATAACCCCAGGCTGACGTTGGGAGGGGGGAGCACTCCTGCCGTGCGATGCATGGCCCCGTGCTCTGCAGCAGATCAAACAGGCTCAGAAGAGCCCTTCTCATCTTCAAAAGGGGAATTTTACACTTGAAACCCAGCTTATCCTCTCCATTTGCTGAGTTTTCTCGGTAACCGAGCCCTGAATAATTTAAGTAACATAACATTGGCATTAGGCTTCCAAAGCTGCTGGAGTGTGTATGAGGGTTGCTACTGCGCAAAGCAGTTACACACAATTACTCCAGGAAGTTGAATATTACATCTGCTTATTTATTTAGATTAAGGTTTCATGTTTGGTCTGGACCGGGTTTTTTTCCCTGAGTTTTGCTGCAGAAGCACCTGCACTATTTGAAATTGATGTGTTGTGCTAATGAATAGACCAAATGAAAACATCCAAAACTACACAGTTCAGGCCCAAAGCACTGCTTGGGAATCCTAAGGGTTTCATGGTGAAGATGAAAACATGCCATGTGCCACAGGGACTTGTCTGAGTCATTTCTCTACAGCGCAGCCAGCTGGGCATCACTTTCATAGGTACACAGGAGTCCCCAGAGGAGGGGGATGGCATCCTGCAGACAGGCAGGAGCCCCCATCTCAGGTAGTGTGTCCATCCCACAGCAGGGAATAGCAGAGTGTAGTGCACGAGAGACCCCCAAGGGCTCTGCTGCCTCACTGCACCCCAAAAAGGATTGGGAGCACGCAGCACACTGGGGTTCCCTCCAACAGCTGGTCCTTGGGGACCAGCCTCGGCAAGCCCACCCAGCTGGTGTCACCTTCTTGGTGGCCTCACCAATGGCCATGCCTCTCAGGAGTTTGGGTTTTCTGGGAATTCTTCACTGGAGGGGAAAAATTTGTCCAGAAGTGTGAGTGAGCAGAGGATGCCTGGCAGCAAGGGCAGCACCAGAAAGGCTGCTGGAAACTGTTGGTGTGGACCTAAGGGTAAAAATTAGGGAGGCTGTGCTTGCTAGTGAACCTCTGGGTTACAGCAGCTTTGGGTGGGCATCTCTGCCCAGGATGTGCAGGTGCCTCCTTTCTGCTCCTGGGCTGCTGCTGTGCCCTGTCACTTCCAGGGTGGTAACTTTAAACATTTTTACATTCACCTTAACTTACAGTGGCAGAAATTGTTTATGGTCTGCTTACCTAGATGGAGAACAGAGATTACTCTGGGATCATCCTGTGGCAGCTGCAGCCTTTACACCAAGATACCCAAGAGGAAATCCTCCTGGAGCGAGGTGGCCGTTCCTCCCTGCGTGCCTCAGCTGAGCTGATACAGAAGGTCCAGCACAAACTGCACATGGGAGGTTCAGAACCCTGCAGGTCCTCATCCTGCTCATGGATCTGAATTTGGACTCAGTGTGTTCGTGTAATTCAAGATGAGGTGGGTAAGTGGAAGTCATGGATTTTGCCAGGCCAACTGCTACAGCTGGGAGAAGTAAACAAGATTTGAGTGCCCTGACCCTCCTTCAGGTATGTGCATCTATATATAGGGCTGTCTAAATATACATGTCTATATATAATGTGTGTGCATATAGCTGTGTGGATATATATATGTGCTGAGAAATGGTTTGAAATTGCAGCAATGCTGTGAGATCATCTGTGCTTGCACCAGGCTGTGCCAGGTGTCAGCCAGGCAGGATACGGCCCCTTAAGTGCCCGTCTCTCCCTGTTCCCCCAACCTTCAGCTTCCTCGGAATGCGAAGGTCACTCTCCAGCGTGCCACCCGCTCTGCCTCCTTCCTGCTGAACCCGATCCCTGGGTGTGTGGCCTGGCCAAGTCCGCTGGCCAGAGCCACCCCTGGGGATGGCTGGGGAGTGGTTACCAGGTGGGATTTAGGGGAGCACACAGGTTGGCAGGAGCACTGAGGGCACAGAGGTGCAGGCTGGGCAGGGTGGGTTTGGCCCGTGTTGACTTTTGTAGACGTGAGGTTTTCCCGGTGGCTTCAGGGGCCTTGAGCAGCCCCAGGAGCTGAGAAAAGCGGAATCCACTCAGGGCTGTGCAGTGTGATGGATGGGCTGTCGCCGCGGGGTCCCCTCCTGCGCTGAGGTGCTGTGTGGCAGAGTTGCCTTTGTAATTGGGAAGAAATACGGCTGCCAGAGCTGGGGGGCACCTGGCACGCGTGTGGGTCACTGTGCCCGCAGCAGGAGGCCGGGGCTGTGTACCCCCGCCTGGGAACCGCAGGGAATGTTGGGCACGGACAAGGGTCAGAGCTTCCCTGCAGGCTGTGAGATGCTGTCAGGGGGGTCGTGGTGGGGACCCCCACCCCCAAGAGCTGCTCTCAAGGGCGGAGCATGGCTGTCCTGCCCCGGGTGGGATGGAGAGCAGCTTTGGCGGCTCGGGGGGCTGCCCTCAGCCCCACTCCCGAGCCCTCCACCCGAGTCTGGGTTGGGCGTGCAGCTGCCGTGTCACCCCCCGAAACCCCGAGCGGGGGGCTGCAACTCGACCCTGTCCCCAGGGTCCCGCGGCCCCGTCCCGGCGAGGCGGACAAGTTAATTCCCAGATGGATGCGCCCCCGAGCCCCGCAGCGGGGGGGGGGGGGGGGGGGGGGGGGGGGGGGGCTGGCGGGGCCGGGCACAGGTGCGGGGCCGCCGCCCGGTTATAAATAGCGGGGAGGGGCGGCCCAGCTCCCCCCCGTGCCCGGTTCCCCCCGCCGGGGCTCAGAGCGGAGCGGGATGCGGCGCCCGCCCTCCCTCCTCCCGCCCGCCGGCACCATGAGCCCGTCCTTCCTCCTTCTCCTCCTCCTCCTCGCCCTGCCCGCCCGCTCCCGGCGGGAGCAGGTGCCCGGCGGGGCGCAGCGGGGCCGCAACGCCCCCACGCCTTCCTCCTCCTCTTCCTCCTCCTCCCCGGCGGCGGCGGCGGGGCCGAGCCGCTTCCCGCGGAGCCGCCCGGAGCGGCGGCGGGGCCGCCTGTACTGCCGGGTGGGCATCGGCTTCCACCTCCAGCTGCACCCCGACGGCCGCGTGGACGGCGCCCACGACGCGAGTCCGCTAAGTGAGTGGGGAACCGGGGGGCCGGAGGGCTGCCGGGGCGGGGGCAGCGGCAGCGGGGCTGAGCATGCCCATCCTCATCCCCATCCCTGCAGTGTCCCGAGCCCCGCGGAGGTGACAGAGCCCCTCGTGCCCGTCACCCTCGCCTGGGGTGAGCTCGGGAAGGCCGCGGGAAGGGGAATCTGGGGTGCTGGGGGGGCGGGCTGTGCTCTTTGGGCTCGGTGGGAGCTGCCTGGCTCCCTTTGGGAAGCTACCTGCATGTTCGCCTGCCTCGAGGAAGTGAGTGTGTGGGGATGGTGTGAGGGCGCGAGGTCTGCACTCCCACCGCAGCCCCTTGTCAGGCACCTGGGGGGAGGATGCTCTCCCTTTTCTGCCCTTTCCCCGTGGAACTTTTCCATCCTTCCCTCTGCATTCCCACTCTCCCAGCACAGCAATAGGATATATTCAGTTTAAAAATAGGACTGAGGCTGACGTTCCCCTGAGAGAAAGCTGTGCTAACTCATGGCTTATCCTCCAGTCGGAGTTGCCGTGATATCCTGTTAGAGTGAACGAAACGGCAGGCGGGGATGAAAAGTCACTTAAAGAGCTCGAGGGCTTGGGCCCGAGGTGACCCTGGCAGCACATGAGGCTCAGCTGTTGGGAGTGCTCACGGAGCAGCCACCACATCTGCCCCGCACCGAAGTATTCGGGCCCCGGTCTGTGCTGAGGCCCCACGAGGGAGCACAGCCTCTGGGCAGAGATGCTGGGAGCCCGGGAATTCTGCTCGGGGCTTCATGGGCACTGCGGGCATGCAGCCTGGAGGGGTTCAGGGGAAGGATGGGAAAACAGGGCATCCATGCCAGGGCTGTTTTGGGAGACATGAGTTCGGAAGGGCTGGCAGAGGTTTGGTGCCACAGCTGTCTTGCAGGGACCTGGATTATGTGAAGTTCCTTTCTTCTTAACCTGAGATTTTCTCCTCAGAAAGGCCACGGTGACACCAGCTCTGCACTTCAGAGCGGAGCCAGCCCTGGCTGGGGAAACATGCTGCTGAGAGGGGCTATGCTGGAGTTTCACGCTGAGGAGCTGTCCCTCATGGGGAAGCAGTTGGCTTTTGGCGAGCAAACCCCAGCTTTGGCCCGTGGGAAACGAGGCTTGACCCCAGGCAACCCCAATAACCAAGAGTATGTCTGCCAGCCAGCAGGGCCACCTCACAAGGGGTAGCAGGTTTTGGAGTGCCCTTGAGGACAGGCATGTGCTGGAGAAGGTATTTAGCTCGCTGCAGTGGGGCTGCACAGCCCCTGTGGCTTTTGGTCTAGGGCACATGAGACGAGGAGGGATGGCCCACCAACCCTGAAAAGTGCCCCCTAGGCCCTTGGTGCTGGGACCTGGGTGCCTCAGGGAGCTGTGCTTCCTCCTTAAAATAAACATGGGAAGTGGTGATCCGATACCCGGCCTCGGGGATTTAACGCGGCTTCAAGTTTGCTCCTGGCATGTTAATCCCATGGCCCTTCGGGGGCCAGGCAAGATGTTCCGTGGGGTCCTTCTTCCAGGCCCGGGGCCACCAACCCCCTGGGGCTGCAGCCCGGCAGCAATGCTGCTTCCCCAGGGCAGGAAGAGCGTGTTGGGGATGTGCTGATCCCGGCTGGAAGGGTTTGGGAGGACGCCTGACCCTCTGCCCCGGGAACCGCACACTGCGTGGGGAGGTGACACGTGTCGGTGCTGTCACTGAGGGATGCTCGGCGGTCGCAGCCCTTCTGTCAGACGAGTTGAAGGGCACACGCCCCCTGTTGGGGGCCAGAGCCCCATCACGCTCAGAAAATTCCCGTTTCTTCCATGGCTGGGCCACGCGGCGGCCCATTCCTCAAGTCCTGCTGTGAGGGGTGGGCCTGAGGGAGCACCATCGGTACCTCTAGCCCAGGTAGGCTGTGTGACACCTTGACTTCCCGAGTCCAGCACGTGCGGGAGGAGAACAGGCAAGGCTGATCCTGGCAGGCTGGCATAGGCACAGGGGGGCTTTTCCCACTCCCACCCTTGTGAGACATTTCCCCAGGGGTTCTGTCATTCTTGACATTCTGCCAAGAATTGTCCCCCAAAGCGCATCTTTTAAAAAAAAAACAAACCCCAGCCACCACCCTGTATCCATCCTGGAGCGAATGGAGGTGGCTCTGCAGAGTGGAGGGATGGAGCAGGAGCTGTGTGGAGCCAGGGAGCTGAGAAGCAGGGATGTGGGAGAGGAAATGCAAACCTGTCAGACTGAGTTGTATTTATCTTTTCTTTGTCACACCAATGTGAAAAGAACTGTGATTTATTTTGGGATTTCTGTCATCCTAGGTATTTTGGAAATATTTGCTGTGTCTCAGGGGATTGTAGGAATACGAGGAGTTTTCAGCAACAAATTTTTAGCGATGTCAAAAAAAGGAAAACTCCATGCAAGTGTAAGTAAACCCCTCGCTTATCAGTACGTGTTGTTTATTAAAGACCTTGTGACACCTCCGTGCGACCGCGGCAGCGACGCTCCTGGGCAGGGCCCCACTGTGCTGACCCCCTCGGGCTGCCGGGATGGCTCCGCGCTGGGCGGCATCGGCGCCGCATGGACGGATAGGGGACAGGTGGAGCCGAAGGCCCCCTAGCCCACCTCCCTACTTACTGCATTTAACCATGAAAAGCGCGCTATTTTTTTTTTTTTTTTTGTGCGGCGGGGTATTTGCATCAGCGGTGCCTGTTCTTTGAGCACGGCTGGGTTATTTTTAGCCACTTCTGCAGCAGATCGCGCAGACGGCTTTAGCCAAATGTCTCCCGGAGAGCGGCACGAGCGGCGCCGGCAGCCCCACGGCTCGGGCTGGCTTTGCCCTTGGGGACAGAAAACCCCAGCAAGAGCTCAGGCAGGTGAGGTCCAGCTTGTGCAGGTGTCTTACAGCTAGAGTGGGAAAACCCCATAACTTGTCTCTGCAGGCTGTTTCCTGGGGTTTCCTGCAGATCTCATTGTCCTTTTCCCAAGCTTTTTGCATTGAATGAGTCCATAAGCTGATCTTACTGCTTGTTGCAACCTCAGGATGTTGCTTCCCAGTTTCTTGTTGTTAGTTCCAGAGATGGCTTAAACAAATGAAATTAATTCCTCTGCTTACATGAAAGTCACTGCCTTTTAAAGGTGTGTGTACATTCACCACCCCAAGAAGGGTGCTTTTAAAAGGCAGCATGTTGACCCCCAGGGTGGTTCCCAGGGAGTCTGGTCAAGGCTGACAGATGGGGAGAGGGAAAAGCCAGTTGCCCAGCCCATGGTTCTGAGTCAAACCTCCTGGTCGTGAAGTGGATGTCACCGATGTGCTTGTGCTGCCTGAGCCCACAGATCACTCCCAGGGAGATTTATGAACTCCTCTGTCTCCCTTGAGTATTATTGGAGTGTTGCTCCTGAAACCTAATGATGCTTAAAGGCTTGAGCACATGGTTGCTTATTTTAGGAAATAAAACAGGAGCAAGAACAGTTTCTAGGGGAAAAGGGGTGGAGGAAAACCTGAGGTGAGGCAATGGGGCAAGAAAGGGGGATAGAGGAGGAGGAGAGGTGAAGGATGGAAAGGAAGAGGGAAGCAGGTGGAGTGGGACCCCTGGACCCTCCAGAGCCTTCCCTCTGGGCTTACAATGGGCCCCTTATCCAAGCTGAAGCCTTGATTTATGCCCTGGTGCAGGCAGAAATTAAATCAAACCTCGTTGGTGTGTGGTCAATTGTGGACACACAAAGGGCAGGACCGGAGAGAGACATCAGTCAGGCGGGTCAGGGTGGGGGTGAGGACACACGATGCCCCGCTCGATGAAAGCTGTGAATTTGTAGAAACTTGACCCAAATGTCTAAAGATGGCTGGACTAAACAACGTCTATAATGCAAACCCAGCATCTGTTGTTCTTTCCTGTCCTGGCAGGATGAAGTTATTTCATGGCCTAATGAGTTCTGAGCAGTACAAAGCGCATCCTGCGCCCGTCACTCAGGGCAGCACTTTGATATGGGAGTCAGGCCGGGGACTTTACACTGAACCACAGACAAAAGTCATTCCTGCAGGAATTTGGGCTTCTTCGAAACCCGCTCTTGGGCCCAGCTCCATCCCGGCCTGGTGCTTTACAGATGCCCTCCTCCTTTTTCTTTTTTTTTTTTTTCACAGAAACTTAATTAAATTACCAAGCAGTTCATTTTTAGAGGCATCAGCTTCAGAAAATGACAGTAATCCTGGCAATTATCAGTTGTGTGCACAGATGGCTTTTTCCTCGTTGATAAATCCTTGCTCCCGTTTGTCCATTTTTAGCATGGAGGGGGTGGGAGGGGTTTTGTGCCCGTCTCGGCAGGGGCCAGCATGGACCCCAGGGGACAGATTTGCCCAGGTAATTCTCCCTTCTCAGGAATTGTCACAATGCTGTGATCCTCGCTGGGGCAAATCTCTGCTCAATGGGATTTTGAAATTTAATTGACTTCAAGATTGCTCTTTGTGATTGTCTCTGGAGGTCTGCAGAGCAAATCTGATGCCAGCCATGTGTCGTGGCTGCACCACCCACCTTGTGCTGGGAAAAATGGCTTTTCCTGGCTAGAACAGTGAGAGGATGAGCTGAGAGGCCAATATGTAGGGAAGCCTGACAAGGTCATGGTGGAGCAGCAGCTGATACACTTCCCAGTCCAGAGCGAGGGCTTCCTTCTGCACGTGGGGTGTCCTGCCTGAGCACTGGGGCTTCAGGGAGAACCTGAGGTCAGCAAAGCCTTGCTGGGGAAGGTCAGTGCTTGTGCATGGGGGATGCAGCGTGGAGGGTGTTTGAAAGACAGGGAGAGGGAAAATGAGTCAGGAGGTGACATCTCTCGGAAGCAATGAGCTTAAGACTTAATTCCAAGTGCTAGGAGGCTAAATGTTCACGGCAGGCTGACGGCTGTGTCACTTGTGCTCTAAGGCTCAACTTCTCTGCTCAATTAGGAGTTTAAAACACCTTCTGCATGGTTACAAAGTCCTGCAAGGGGTTTGGTCTTGTACTCCATCGCTGGTTTCAGAGCCAAGGAGCTCAGCAATGCCATCCCAGTGGCTTGGAAGCGTTGCTGTGGAATTGGGCTAGGGATGCTCATGGGGCTCCAGGTGCCATGCCCACCATCAGGTTAAAGTGTGGCAGTGGGCTCTGGAGGGTCTGCTGGAAGCTGCAGACAGGGGTCCCAGGGCCATGGGTGTACAGCTGGAGTGTTAGGCTCTGGTCCTGCGTTTTGGAATGCTTTTTTGGGAGGGAAGGGAAGGGTGCTGCTGGGGCAGGACAGGACGGGAGGGAAGGGCACTGCTGGGGCAGCCCAAGCCTTTTATTCCTAAGGAAGCCCCAAACTGGGTGGCAAGCAGCTACTGAATTATCTGTGTTGGGGGTTTTCCAAATGGCCGGGTGCCCTGCGCCCTTGCAATGGGTGTCCTGTGTTTCCACCCACCCCTTTGGACCTGCTTTTGGGAGACAGACAAACCCGGCAAGCGTCAGGGGGTGAGGGTGAGGGACAGGGCCAGAGAGCAGCAGCCCTTGGCTAACGGTGTCCCCGCTGTCCCCACAGGCCCGGTTCACAGCAGACTGCCATTTCCGGGAGCGCTTCCAGGAGAACAGCTACAACACCTACGCCTCGGCCGTGCACCGCAGCCCGCGCTCGGGGCGCCAGTGGTACGTGGCCCTCAACAAGCGGGGCAAGGCCAAGCGGGGCTGCAGCCCCCGTGCCCGGCCCCAGCACGTCTCCACGCACTTCCTGCCCCGCTTCTGGCAGCCGCAGCCCCCCGAGCTCACCTTCACCGTCGCCCTCCCCGAGAAGAAGCCCCCGCCGCCGAAGCCAAAGCTCGCCCCATCCCCGCCTCGGAAGAACCCCGGCCCCGTCAAGTACCGGCTGAAGTTCCGTTTCGGGTAGTGCCACAGTGGGGATGCCGGCGCCGGAGAGACCGAGCAGCTTTCGGGGCTGACCCCACGGGAGACCTGCGACCCCCTCCTCAGATGGACACGGGGGATCTCCAGGTCTTCTCTTCACCACCCGAGCCGGGCGGCATCCCCGGAGGTGTGTGTTGGGCTGACACAACTCGGGCTTTCCAAAGAGTATTCCTGTGGTGAACTGGAAACACTGCATGGACCTCGGGTTAGTGTTCTGATGCTGAAAGATGCAGAAAGGTACCTCTACGGCGAACGTACTTTTTTACCTTGTTTTCACTAGTGACTTCTTTGACAATCATTTTCATACGAGAGATGCTCAGAGCCAAGCAGTTTTGTTTGTTTTTCTTGCATCTCCTTCTTGCTGCACTTTTTCCTCCAACCTTACCTCAGACACCGGATATCCAGGTCTGCCCCTTCCCCTTCTCCTACAAACCAGCTCCTCCCTTCCACAACGAAAGAGCAAGACCAAGCTCTGCAAATTCACTCATCTTGTGGTGCAAGGGGAGTGGGTATTAAAACTCCCTGTTGGCAATAATAGATACATGTATGTATTTTTTAAGGGTTGCAGGCTTGGGGAGGGCAGCTGTTTGCAGCCCTGCTCCCGGGGTCTCTCCTGTTCTTCCCTGGACAGCCAGAGGAGCGAGTCTACTTCTGTGCGTCCAAGTATGGATTTGATATCTGTGTTTAAATTACCTCTGCCCCGGTGCTGGGGCATTTCTGTTGCCTGGTAGAGCCCCTCCACACCCCTGCTCCCTGGGGACACCTGTGGCCCCTGGGTGCCTTCTGGTTTCTTCCAACAGTTTTTGCTGCTGATTTATTTTACCATTCACAATACATTTGCAGAGGTGGGGATCAAGGGTTTTATTTTACAGTGAGCGTGGCGACGTGGCAATAAATACTGTTACAGCTGCTTGTCCCTTCGGAAGTGTTTTTCCAGGTTGCCAATGGCCTCGATGTTGAATTGTTTCTCTGTGTGATGTACTCTGTGGAGTCATTGTGCCTATGGAGTTTGTAATCAGTGTTTAGCTGAGCTGCTGTACGTACAGACAACGGTAGCATCGAACCTCACCGGTGAAGCCTTAATAGGAGCCCAGGTGGGTTCACGTGGGCAGAACCCCTCCAGACCTGACCCACCAGTGTCTGGCAGCAACAACGAGGGTGAGCGGCAGGGCTGAGCCTCTTCTCCAAATGTGATTGTGGTACAAATGACTGTTTGCACTGGGATCCCAGTTCTTTGCCTGTCATCCTTCTGGGCAGCCCCTGCTGGACACGCACACTCCACGTTCGGGGATGGATGGCCCTGCTGGAATAAAAGAGTTGTGTTTCATTTTTTAATCTGGTTGTGTGATCTCTTGTCTGTCTGTGCCTTCTTTTCTTCTCCTGAAGGAGAGAAACAAGCGCTGCTGGATGAGCTGCTACATGTCTTTTCACCAGGGATCTGGCCAGCGCAGTGTCGGCGATGGGGTGGAGCGCAGCCCACACTCCCTGTGACATGCTCTGCAAACTGTGCTCTGGAACATCCTTCCTAGTGGCTCCTCTGGGGCAGGTGTTTGGATCTGGACCACAACAAGGCACAGGTGAGGATGTGGATCACAGCAGGGTCAGGCGAACACGGGCCTTGCACCCCCGGTCCCTTCCAGCCGGACAGCCTGACTGCAGATGTACGAAATGCTGCTGCTGCTGGGCCATTCAGCAGCTGGGCACCATCAGGTGTAATTAGTGCTCAGGTCACCTCACTAAACTAATGGAATGAAAACTTTTGCAGATGCCATCCTCAGCCCTGCCCAGGCAGGTGCCTGGAACTCCCTGGGTCGGTAAGAGAGGAGGGAACATGCTGGTCGCTTGCTGCTGCTGCCTCCCCTCAGAGGCAAAAGGTATTGTTTTAATCTTTTTTTAATAGAAAACTCTTATAGATAACTATGACAAAAAAAAAAAAAGCTGGTGCTTTACTGTTAAAGTAGTAACTAAAACATAGTCGTGCTGCAACAAAGAGGTCTGTGCCAGGCAGAGAGCCATCCCAGCAGAGAGACCAGGGTCAGGTAACCCAACAGACACTCCCTGTTCCTTTTGGGCACCCTTGGGCAAGAGAACTCACTAGGTTTGCTTATCAGGAGGGGACTGAAGGCCTTAGATTATGGTAAATGTTTCTGCTAAATTTAAAACCATCCAGTGGACAACTTGAGGGGCTTGTAAGGAATAAGGGTAACTTGTTCAGGGTGCTTCTTGCATTTCAAAAGTGGTTTTGCTGGTGGCTTAATCTTGTTTACAAGTGTTGATTGCATTTAAGCCTTCCTGAGGACTGCTTTTGCTTTGTGGCACTGGCCAGCCCCTGCCCTGAGCAGGGCAGGGAGCCCTGAGCCTCCTGATTCCTGATTCCTGCTCCCTGGGCAAGGGGACCCTCCTGCCCTTGGGCAGGCTGGTGGGAGCATTGCTCCTACAGTAGCAATGGGAGGGGGGGTCTGCTCTGTGTTGTGACTTTGAGGGAGGCAGAACTTCTGTGATGGCCTGGGAAAAGAAAGAAGGCTCCAGCTTTGCAGCTCTGAGTGTGCCATAAACCATCCTGTCAGCCACTCCTGTTTCATTCCAGTGGATTTATCCACTTGGCTTCAACCACTGGGGCACTAATTGCTGACTCTTAAGCAGGCTTCTCTACTTATTTTGCATAAAAGCTCTTTGTATTGTCTTTAAATCTTGCTGTACACAGAGGGAAAACCTGCTGGGAAAACGAACAGAGACAGGGTCTCTCCTGTCCCTCTTTTTGGGGAGCTGAGGGCAGTGGGCCATGCTGGGGAAGTGGGGAGGTCTGGCTGCTGGCAGCAAGTGGTGGGGGGGCCTGTGTGTAGGACCTGTGGCCTCTCTGTCAGTTAGAATCCTGGAGCAGGCAGAGCAGCACTGGGATGAGCTGGGTGGGGAGTGGACTCCCAGGAGCTAGGATGCAGGAGGACAACACAGGTCTATGAAGTTCTCTGCCCCAGGATGCCAGCGTGGTGCTCCTGAGCTCTTTGTCACCAGGGCTAAAAACGGCACAATTACTGCCTGCGGACCGATAGCCCAAAGTCATCTTTTTTTTTCTCTCCCATTCCCTTTCTGACTCTTCTCCTGCAGGCTTTGAGATCTCCAGTCTCGGCTGTGGCTTAGGCAGAGCTTGAGAGGGCCACTGGAACCTCAGCTCACAGTGTGATGGGAGCAGTGTTGGAATAACCCCGGCACCTCCCGGGAGCCCCGGACACCCCGTTTGCTCCGCAGAGCTGGTGTTGGACCCCAGCTGGGTGCCTTCAGCCTGTGCTCCCCGGGCTGCAATGCTGGGGTGCTCCCCTGGGAGTAACCCCAAACTGAGTTAAGCATCCGAGGGGGAGCCATGGCTTAGGGTGAGGAGCTGCATGTTGTGAGGGGTTGGGAGGAACAGTGGGATTTTTTTGGGCTTTTTCCTGGTTTTCTGTTCTCCTTTTTGACCACTGCAGTGCTGGGGAGAAAAAGCTGGAAACAAAACCAACAGAAGGGACTTCCTGAATTGCTTTGCAGGGAACTGTCACTTTCAGAGGAAGCACAAATCCTCATGGAGCCGAGAACGGGGATGACGGGAGTCCAGCAGAGTGCAGTAAGCTGCCACTGCCCCCAAAACCCTCCTTTTGGAGGCATTTGTTGACTTTCTGTAATAAAAAAAGCCTCCCTATCTTGTTTGCAACCCTACAGCCACCCCTGGGGGCGTGTGTCATGTTCCAGACCCTCAGAGGGGTTTGTGTGTGTGCTGTGCTGGTGGATGCCTGGTCTGGGAGGAACATCCCTTTGCAGAAGGGAGAGGATTTGGGATGGAGCTGTCGAGCTCGGGCAGGTGAGAAAACCCCCCCTCCCCCCCCCCCCCCCCTTCGTGCAACCCCAGATATCCATCCCTCCTCCCCTCTTTTCTCCACCCCTTTCCTCCCCTCCTCTTCTTGCTCCCCGTTCTCCTTTTGTCTTGTGCCCCCCGCCTTTTGCCCACCCTCCCTTTCTTTATTTCTGCCTTTGGGGGTGAGTAAAAAGGGGTGGGGGAGTCCGGGGTCGATGAGGGGCATCCCGACGCCTCTGGGAGAGAGCGAGCGTGCCGTGGGGTCAAGTAGAGTCCTCCCAAAAAAGGGAGGCTAAGCCCAAAAATGCCTGAAAGTTACTGGGGGTGTTCGTGTAAAAATAATTAAAAAATTACCGTCTCTCTTTTTATCTATTGAAATTTAATATTAATTGACATATAAATTGATTTCAAAAGAGGGCCCCGTCTCTACTTTATTATATACAGGATCGAGGACAGTAAGAAATGCAGGATGCAAAAAGAGGGGGTTTGAGAGCAGGACGTGGGTGCGCGTGAATGAAGCCCCACGGCGCGTGCCAGCGCGAGGGCGGCGGGCGGAGCTCTGCGTCGGGGCTTTCCCGGCCGCTCCCCCTGTCCCAGGGGGCCGCGCGGGGATGGCTGTTGCCGCTGACGGGCGGCACGGGAGGGAGGGCGGCGGGTCGCAGAGCTACGCGCTGGACCAGCGAACCTCGCCGCTCGCCCGTTCCCTGCCGGTGGGGTGGGGGGGGGCAGCCAAGGCGGCGACGGCGGCGCATGCGCAGTGGTAAGCGAGACGCCGGCGATCACGTGGTAAATGAGGGCGGCCGGGCGAGGGGAACGAGCGACGCATGCGCAGTGGCTCCTGTGCCGCTGCAGCGCTCCCCGCTCGACTTCAAAGCCGGCTCCGGCGGCACGGCGGGAGCTGCGGTCTCCCGTCTCTCCCGGGGTGTGCGCGGGGGGAATAACGTGAAGATTTTTGGGGCGAAAGCGCAGAAATCAGCGAGGGTCGTTCTCCGGGTAAACTGGGGCACCGGAAGTAGAGGGCGACCGGGCTGTTTTCGACGGCGCACCACTCGGACCGGAAGTGCTGCGAAGCCGCCCCAAAAGAAAGATGGCGGCGCCAGGACCGGAAGTCCTCCAAAGGCCCTACACAAAAATGGCGGTCCAGGTCCGGAAGTCCGCCCGAGGCCACACTCAAGATGGCGCCGCCAGGACAGCAACTTAGCCCAGGACACACTGAAGATGGCGGTGAGAGGACCCCTTGCCTCAGAGAGGCGTCTATCCTGTTGCCTGACCTTCGCCCCGACCCGGACCCCCGCCCCACGCCCGCAGCGCCGTCTCACCGCGCCGCTTCCCGCTGTGGGGACGGGGTGGGGCGCTCTGCGGCGCCGGGCGCGGGCGGCAGGTTCGTGGGCGGCGGCAGGCACCGGCGCGGGCAGCCCCCCTCGGCGCAGCGGCGCGCGGCTCAGCCGCGAGGACCCCAGGCACGCGCCGCGTCGCCCCCTCGCCCCGTTCCGCTCCCGCTCGGTCCCGCCGTGCCCCGGAGATGCTGTCGGGGCTGCGCCGCCGCCTCCCTCCCCCGGAAGCGACCCACGGCGGCAGATCCGACGTCGGGCTCTCCGGGAGGTCGTCGCCGGGGTAAGCGGGGGGGCGGCGGTGGCGGCCGCTCTTCTGCCTCTCCCGCGGCCGTCGGGCTGCAGGCAGGGGAAGCGACAGGCAAGTTTCTCGCCTCTGCGGAGAAACTTGCACCTGCGGGCCGCCGCCAGGAGCAGGGGCGGCGAGAGCGGCAGGGCCGGGGTCGGATGTACCCTGGCATTGCACCCCCCCGGGGAGGGTCTGCGCTGCCTCAGGGACAGGGGAAGCGGATCTTGCAGGACCCCTTTGTTCGCTCGTTGAGCTCGCAAGAGGCACAAGGGGCGTGAAATCCCAGGGCAGCTGCGCCTGCCGTAGGAGTTGCAGGGAGAAGCAGCTGGGGGGGGGTTTGCTCTCTGCCCCTTTCCCACCTTCCCCTTGGTTCCCTGGGACTCCAGGAAATCCCAGCTCCCCTTGGCTTCTCCGGGGGCCTCGTGGCAAGGTTTCTAAGTGTGGCCCTGAGATTTTCTGGCCTTGGAACTGATGGCTGTTTCGGGGCACGTCTCACCGGGCAGTCTGTCTTTTAACCCTTCCTGGGGCAGGAGAATTGCAGTGGAAGAAAGCAAAGGAAGCCCAGAGCCTGGAGGAGGCAGGTGCCGATTGTGCCCGGGGCTTGTTCCTCACCTTTCGGTTCCAAAGGAGAGGGGAGCAAAAGGCAGAACAGCCCACTGCTGCTGCTGGGGCTGGACTGTCTGCAGTGCCCGGGGGCCGGGCAGGACTTGGCCCTGATGCCTGCGTTGCTCTGCAGCGGCCAGGGAGGGGTCCCAAAAGTCATCCCCCTGCGTGCTGTGCTGCACAGCAGGGGCTGGGTAGCCCGGTTCCCGGCCGGGGGACCCCAGGGGAGGCCGTGCTGGGGCTGAGGGGCTGCTGCTCTCTGGGCCTCTCGGGGTTTGCCTTGGAATCCCAAAGCCTGTGCCTGCGCGGGGGGGAGGAGGCAAAGGTGACTGTAAGTTGGTTTGTTGTGGAGTGTTTTGGGGCCGAGTTAATGCTCTTGGCTTGTTGTGTGTCAATTCCCAGCCTCGGTCAGGGCTTCCCGGGGAGCGTTGCTGCTGCCGCCGCCGGGAGAGAGAAATCCTTTGGGAAGCCGGGATAAAAACAGCAACTCTGTGAATTGCTCAGCTTTTCCTAGGCAAGGGCAGGTTTTAGGGAAGAAAGGCCCGTACTCGCGAAAGGCGCCGCGCGTCTCGCCGAGGGGGGGGGGGCGCGCGGCTGCGGTGGCGCGCGCGGCTGCAGTGCCGCTCCCGGCCGTGTCCGCCAGGCGGCGACTGTGAGGCAGGGCCCGGCGCTCGGGGGCGCCCTTGCAAGCGACGCCCGTGGGAAAGCGGCGGTGTTTTGGCCCTGCCGGCCTTCCCCCGGAGTGCCCGGGCTGGCCCAGCGCCTGGCAAAACCTCTTAGGGAAAAGGCAAGGAACAACTGCGGTTGTTCTACCGTTTCTTTAGCCAGGGACTGGAACACAGACAAAATCCAGGCGGTCTTTGACCTGTGCAGGCTCCGAGCATTTTTCAGCCTTCCTTAGCAGGGCATTCTCACCCTCTGAAAAGCTGAAAGACTTTAACATCTGGATCCGCACCTGCAGCTGTGCAAATTAATGTAGTTTCTTTTAGGAAACGAAGGGGAAGTTTTCCTGTTGTGAGCCTAAATACCGAGTCTGCTCTGCTTTTTCAATCAGGTGACGAAGCTTATGGAAAAAAAGACCAAAGGCCTCGAGGTGAGTCCATTCTACCGAGTTCTGCTTTTCTGGGGTCGCTTTGGGAAAATCACGTGACATTCTAAAAAGCTTCTCTCCGTGTTTCCTAGTTGTTGTTTTTTCAGCCTTGGTCTAAGTTTCATGTAGAAAAGGGCACAGAATTATTAGAACAGACAAACTGGACTTTCTCGGGAGAGACGGAAGAAAAGTCTGCTGATTCCAGTTCTGCTTTTCTTGTCTTCCCTTCGACTGTCGTTTTCTCTCCCCTGCTGTTCAAATAGGCAGCAATTAATTCCTCTGCTGAAGAGTTTGCTGTGCTAAGCGTCTGTCAAATTGATGCCTTCCACTCAAGATAGCACCTGCTCCTTAGTTACCAAAAGTTCCTCCCAGGAAATTTTCAGGCGTGCCCATAGATCTCCTCGCTGTTTGTTTGGGAGAACAGGGTTTTCTCGTCTGTAACAGAAGAGTCGTGGCATTTGCTGTTGAATGCCGGTGGCAATCTAGTCAGAAGAGGAGCCCGTGCTTCACTAATTTTCCCTTTTTGTCCTTCGGGGTGACTTCTTACCAGGGATGTTATTCTTGACCCCCCGGGGCAAACGGAGGCGTTCGCCTGGTCAGCGTCAGGAGCCATCCTAACTGAGGCCCTGCTGGGTAAGTGCTTTTCGTGTGACTGGCCGGCGAAGCTGTCTGTGGGAATGACCTGGCTATTGCTCAGTGCAGTCCTAATTAAGGTGTCTTTTACTCCGTGTTCCCAGGCTCCCTCTTTCCCTTCGGTCGCCGTGGATGTGCCGGACGCCTCTGGCAGGACTGACCCTGTGGCTTTTATGTCCAGCGTGCCTGCAGGTAAGAAAAGCTGGGAGTGCAGTCCCTCTGCTTTGATTGCTGTGCCTCTTTGGTAGGGATTTTGGAGGGGAATCCCAGAGCGATTTGGTTTGAAGGGGACCTTCAAAGGCCACCCTGTCTTCCGTGGGCAGGGACACCTTCCACTGTCCCCGGTTGCTCCGAGTCCCGTCCAGCCCAGCCTGGAACACTTGCAGGGATCCAGGGGCAGCCTCGGCTTCCCTGTGCAGTGTGCTCTGATAGCTCTCCGCTGGCATCATGAAAAATGTCGTCAGCGTGTTTTGTTGGACGACAGGAAGCAGGACCGGGGTGAAAATGACATTCTCTTAGGTGCAGAGGGAAATAATTATCCTTTGAAGTCAAATGTATTCGGTTTTGCACGAGTCTTGTCTGCCTTAGGTTTGAATTGCTTTCTATTCTAGGCAGTTGTTTTAAATTAAACTTTTATTTTGTGTCTCCCCCTCAGTATCCTGTACAAGACAAAGCTGCCTTTCCTCGTGGGAACGAACTGGCCGAGCTTTGGCAATCCGGGCCCTCGAAAGACTAAAGTGACCTCTTCCAACAGGGGAAGACTTTCTGGCAAGGGGTGCCAGAAAGAACTGGAGTTTCTGGAGAATAAAAGCTGGAAGTGTGCCCCTGAAAATCGCCCTCCCCTGGGTGGTCAGTGGTCTGACTTGCACGGACCAGAGGCCTTGGCCAGGAGTGGTCCTGCCGGACTGTAATTTTAATTTACTGCCCAGGCTGTAATTTTAATTTCCACTGGGTGCTGGCAAAGCCCCCCTGTGGGTGAGCCCCAGTGCCTGGCAGGAGCAGAGCGGGCTTCCAGGGCACTCATTGCAGGCATTGTGTTGAAGGGAAGGGCAGGGGAGCCTTTCTCTGGCCCAGAGGAGCTGCAGTGTTCTTCCTTCCTCTCTGGAGGACTAAGAACTAAAAAAAAAAAATAGCAAACGTGAAAGAAAAGAAAAGACAATAAAATGAAAAATAAAGAGAATAAAAAATTAAGGAAATAAAAAAATATAAAATACAAAAGAAAATTAAAGAAAACAATAAAAGCGAGCAAACTAAAAAGGCACTAATAAAATGAAAAGAGAAATGAAGGAAAAAAGCAAGCCTTCTTGGGCTGGCCGGAGTTTACTCCCCGCCCTCCGCCCCGTAACTTGGGAGTCACCCCTAACATGTGAGAAGGGGACCCCAAAAGGTGGGTGGGGGAACCCCAGGGACCGGAAAAAGCAGCGGCGGGGGGGGGGAGCCGTGAAATGTGAGGGAGGGGCCCCGGCAAAGCGGGCGAGGCGCGCGCAGTGACAGAGCGAAGCCGGGCGGTGGGGTGGGGGGGGCAGCCAAGGTGGCGACGGTGGCGCATGCGGAGTCGTAAGCGGGACGTCGGCGATCACGTGGTAACTGAGGGCGGCCGGGCAAAGGGAACCGGCGACGCATGCGCAGTGTCTTCTGTGCCGCTGCAGCGCTCCCCGCTCGACTTCGGGACCGGCTCCGGCGGCACGGTGGGAGCTGCGGTCTCCCGTCTCTCCCGGGGTGTGCGCGGGGGGAATAACGTGAAGATTTTTGGGGCGAAAGCGCAGAAATTAGCCAGGGTCGTTCTCCGGGTAAACTGGGGCACCGGAAGTAGAGGGCGACCGGGCTGTTTTCGACGGCGCACCACCCGGACCGGAAGTGCTGCGAAGCAGCCCCCAAAAAAAGATGGCGGCGCCAGGACCGGAAGTCCTCCAAAGGCCCTACACAAAGATGGCGGCCCAGCCCGGAAGTTCGCCCCGAGGCCACACTCAAGATGGCGCCGCCAGGACAGCAACTTAGCCCAGGCCACACTAAAGATGGCGGTGAGAGGCCCCTTTCCTCGAAGAGGCGTCTATCCTGTTGCCTGACCTCCGCCGCGACCCGGACCCCCGCCCCGCGCCCGCAGCGCCGTCTCACCGCGCCGCTTCCCGCTGTGGGAACGGGGCGGGGCGCTCGGCGGCGCCGGGCACGAGCGGAAGGTTCGTGGGCGGCGGCAGGCACCGGCGCGGGCAGCCCCCGCGCGGCGCATGCGCGAGGACCCAAGGCACACGCGGGGCGCCGCTCGCTCGCCCCGTTCCGCCCCGCCCCGCTCGGTCCCGCCGAGCCCCGGAGATGCTGTGATGGTGTTTAGGGAATGCTGAGTGTATTTCCCCCACTTTGGCAACGTGGTCAGTAAAAAGAGAAAAATAACAAGTCTATGGAAATCCCCCCCGCTTGGTAGCTTTCAGCGCTCTGGGTTAAATCTTGGCTCTCCAATGTTAAACTGTGGGCGAGGGGCGGTGGCCGAGCAGGGCCAGCGGCGGGGCCGGACGGGCCGGCCCGGGGGTCCCTTCTCGGCGGGGTCGCAGCCGCGGGACCCGCCCCCGCCCCGCGCGGCCCCTCCCGGCGCGCCCCGCCCGTCCTTGGGGGCTGCGGCCGCTCCCGGCGCTGCCGAGGCTGCCGGGGAGGGACCGGCCTGTGCTGGGGGCAAGGGGTTTGTTCCTTGTGTTCGTGGGCGGCAGCGGGAGCCGCGCTGCGGGCCGGGACGGGCGGGAGGTGCCGGGTGAGGGCGGGGAAGCCGCGGCGGGGCCCGGGGGCTGCAGCTCTCTGGCTTCCCGACTGGCTTTGCAGACATTTGCCACCTTCAGAGGAGGCACAAATCCCCGCGGAGCTGAGCGAGGGGTGCGGGGAGCACAGGGAGCTGTGACCAGGGGAGGGTGTGCGCAGTGCCCCAAAACCCGCACCCCAAACCAGCCCGAAACAGCCCCAAATCAACGGTCACGCGCCCCGGGCTGGCGCCGGCCCCTCCCTCCTGCTCGCGCCGGCCCCGCCCCCTGGCTCGCCCCGCCCCCTCTCCCCTCACCGCCTTTGGCGCGCGGGCCCCTCCGCGCTCGCTCTGCGCACGCGCCGCTCTGTGGCCGAGCGGCTTTTCCCGGGGGCCGCGGAGGAGGCTGCGGGACCGGCGGGACTTGGAGGTGGGAGAGTGGGAGGGGGCGGAGGGGCTCGGCTCGGCTCGGCTCGGCTCGGCTCGGCTCGGCTCGGCTCGG